AATAATAAATTTTCTGTTGTTTTTTAAAGGAAAAGTCATATAATTATAGTGAAGCATGTGATATATTTATAAGCTCCATATGAGATACTGATACTCTTAAACATGAGGCATACATAGGTTTGTAGCTTCAGTAGATAAACTAATTTAGTATTTTGTGGCTATGAAAAGGGTTTTATTGAAAAATTTTAATCAAAGCAAGCTACATCATCACATTATTTAATGATAAATTATATCATAGACACTTTACACAAGAACAACTTCAACAGCAACAAATTGAAATTTTCCCATACTCTTCTAGGTGGATTTAAATCATGTTTATGGTGAAACTTTGGATAGACAGCATAAACTGCGCCTTTTCAAGGATGGAAAACTGAAATATCAGGTTTGTTGCATTTGAATATTAAGAATTAATTATGACTCCCCACTTATATTTTAAATCTCTGATTAAAATTCATTTCTTAACTTTTTAATTAATGTGTACTTATTACTTTTTTTCTTAAGGTAATTGATGGAGAGGTGTATCCTCCCACAGTCAAAGATTCTCAGGTGGAGATGATCTATCCCCCTCATGTCCCTGAACACCTGCGGTTTGCTGTGGGGCAGGAGGTGTTCGGCCTGGTGCCTGGCCTGATGATGTATGCCACGATTTGGCTTCGAGAGCACAACAGAGTGTGTGATGTGCTTAAACAGGAGCATCCGGAATGGGATGATGAGCAGTTGTTCCAGACGAGCAGGCTGATACTCATAGGTAAGGAAGATGAGAAAATCATTTAAAGAAAACCTCTTCCCTGGGGATAAAACTAGTTTGTTACCTCTGCTGTGTTTGAAGAAATCCTTTGGGCAGGGCAGCGGGCGGGGGGTGGGGGTCCTGAAAGCAAAATCACATGCTCCATATGAACTGCATCCTTGAGCATGATTGTACTACAACTACCTTTTGACGCGATGGGAAAAAGGAAAAAGCAGAAGTCAAGGAATAGCCAATTAAAGAAACTGCATTTCCGTTGCTTGAAAGTTAGTGATCAGGAAGAATGAAATGTTCTACGTTCTTTATTTTGTGCAAATAGGAGAAACTATTAAGATCGTGATAGAAGACTATGTACAGCACTTGAGTGGCTATCACTTTAAACTGAAGTTTGACCCAGAGCTGCTTTTCAACCAACAATTCCAGTACCAGAACCGTATTGCTGCTGAGTTTAACACGCTCTACCACTGGCATCCCCTTCTGCCTGACACCTTTCAAATTGAAGATCAGGAGTACAACTATCGGCAGTTTCTCTACAACAACTCGATATTAATGGAACATGGGCTGACCCAGTTTGTTGAATCATTCAGCAGGCAAATTGCTGGGAGGGTAAGCATTAGTATTGAAAAACAAAACAAAATCAAGGACTAGTCAAAACTAGAATTTCTGCCACAGAAACGGTTTTCGTTAAACTTACTAAACAAGTGATTATCTTGCTTGTAAAATTCTTTTCTTGAAACAAGAAGCCTAACGTTTTCTGAAACGTCAAAGCTTTTAGTCTAGAGTTATCAAATGGCAATACGTCATCATACCTTAAAATATAGATATTTTCAACAACTTTCTGTAATCTGACAGATTACAGAAAGAAATATTTCAAAGTTTAGATCTCAGCCAGGAGTGTAGGTCTTTCCTACTTTGTACCCAAGGGATGCTTTTAAAATAGAAATTGTAAAGATGCCTCAAGTTTCTGTCTTATAATATAATTTATTTTCCACAGGTTGCTGGTGGTAGGAATCTCCCAGCTGCAGTACAACATGTAGCAAAGGCCTCAATCGACCAGAGCAGGCAGATGAAATATCAGTCTCTGAATGAGTACCGCAAACGCTTTCTGATGAAGCCCTATGCATCCTTTGAAGAACTTACAGGTGAGAAAGATTCTAAGGTCAAATGGAAATATCAGAGAAGCTGCACGCAGATTGAGCAAAGGGGTAAAACTATCGTTTTTATTCTGTCAAGTTTTACATCGGTTGCATCTCTGTCTTTGTCACCTTCACAGGCGAGAAGGAAATGGCTGCGGAGTTAGAAGCCCTCTATGGTGACGTTGATGCCATGGAGCTGTATCCTGCCCTTCTGGTAGAGAAGCCTCGTCCAGACGCCATCTTTGGTGAGACCATGGTAGAACTTGGAGCACCTTTCTCCTTGAAGGGACTTATGGGCAATCCTATATGTTCTCCTCAGTACTGGAAGCCTAGCACTTTTGGTGGAGAAGTAGGTTTTAAAATCATCAACACTGCCTCAATTCAGTCTCTTATCTGCAATAACGTGAAAGGCTGTCCTTCTACTTCGTTCAGTGTTCAAGACCCGGAACCCACCAAGACAGTCACCATCAATGCAAGCCCTTCCCACTCTGGACTGGATGATATTAATCCTACAGTACTACTGAAAGGACGTTCAACTGAACTGTAGAAGCCTATTGATCATATTTATTTATTTATATGAACAATCTCTTTTACTTATTTAATATTTATATGAAAGTCCTTACGTGACTTAATGCCTTCTGTTAAGGAGAAGGGGTTACACATGTGAAGATTTTCATGTCTGTAATTTAAAGGTGTCTTTTCTTCAAGTTCAAGGGAAAACCAGTTTTCCTTCTTTTTTATAAAGCAATGGGAGATGAATTTGACATCTTTTTTACTTGAATTTCAATTTAGATTGTTAGAATAAGAACGAAGTCAAAGATGTTTGAACGTTGAAATGTTTTTGGAAGATGACAAAATGCTGCAACTTTCTCTCTGTACTATTGATACTTACAGTGTATCTTCCCTGATACATTGGAAGCAACTACCTGCACACTGTTTTCTTTTTCTTTTTATTTTCTTCTTTCAGCCATTGTGCTAAGGGAAATCCTCTTCTGCTCAGGTTATTTCTTCCATTTTGTTTCCCTGGTTTTACGATCTGAGTTTGTCTTTCTTTGGACTCTGTCTATATTTTCTCATCTGAACCTTTGCAAGTTTTCAGGAAAACCTCAGCTCAGGACTACTATTTAGCTCCTCTTTAGAGGGGTAAAAGAAAACAAAAGCCCTCGAAACAGGCCTTGACAAAAAGGTAGGCTTGAAAGACAGAGAACTTCATAATGAATTTTAACTGTGTAACCAAAGAAGTCTACAAAGAGGATAATACCTCAGAAGGAACTGTAGGAGGTTCTTGACAGGAAGAAAGTTATATTCCAATTCTCATGAATGTCCTTTCCCCTTCAAAAACAAAAGCAAACAATTCCTGAATAGTTCCCAGGAAGACAATGCTTCTTCTTTTCCACATCTCATTGTCAACTGACATTTTCTGGTACTGTATGTTGTTACTTAATTTATTGAGGATTATTATTTATGTTTTGTCAGGATATTATTATTACAAACTGAGTTGAAGCCAGAAGTTATTGACTTCTTTTTTTTTTTTTTTGCATTATGTCAGAATCACTCTGTCTTCTTAGGGATACCTCTCTGAATTATTTTTGAGTTTGACAAATTACCTCTCTGAATTATAAGAAAGTATTGGATTAAGATTTGTGAATAAATTTTCAGGATCCCAACTCTGGTACATTGAGATCTATAAGGTTGGAAGTTCTCTTTAAGGTTTACTATATACACCAGCCCACAGAAAACTTTCTGTCTCATTAGCCTGGATGTGTTGTAAGACTGACCTTTTATACATTTTTCAAGGACCTGTGGATGGTCCATTAATTCATTCAACCATAGCTTATTGAGAAGACATTCTGTGCAAAGCACTGGTTTTAAGTCAAGCACTGATCCTGGATAACATTAGTATTTGTGTAAATAATGAAAAGCATGTCTCAGGCAGAGGGAGAAAATGAAATTTCATTAAAGAGAAATAACTCAGGGGAATTTTTATTTAAGATTTTATGTTTAAAAAGTTTATGGTTAAAAAAGAAATAGTCAATATTAGAAAGCCTTGTATGAAAAACTGTTCACTTCACTGATTTAAAAACTAATTGGCTATTAACATTAACCTGCTGTCTGAACCTAGGAATTGGGAATGTATATGTGAATGTTTGGGTGCCTGAGACAAATATGTATTTAAATTAACTTATGTAAAATGTCAGCATTGAAATATGTCTGTTTATTTTTATACTATTTAAAAATTGAAAAGTCCCTTCTAAAATAAATTTCGACTGTTTCCATATATCTTTGTCGTATGACGTATGATTTGTCTAAAGTGTTATACTTAAAGTAAATCATTGTCTTGTAGTCTATCTATTCCAAACTAGACTAGCTCTAGCTCTTAATGAAATGGTTCTGCCCTCAGTTACATCAAGGCTTCCTAGGATCACTATTTATAATTTCTCTTTCATTACCACACATTGGACAAGGTGTGCTTTGTGCTGTAGAAGATAGCAACAAACTGGTTTCCATTGCCTATTCTAGAAGATGGAAAGAATACCAAGTACACAAAAGGCAAAGAATAAGGAAAGAGTTACTAAGACGGTACAAAATTTAAAAGGAAGTTCAAAGAGGAAGAGGTTATATTCAGTTGGGCAAACCATTGATACCTGGCTCGTTGGCTTCTGTTGTACCCCTACTCTTGACATGTTGGTAGTAATTTCAATATTCATATGGGCCACATAATTAACATTCTGCCTGGCCTCTCTCTTCCTTGGCCTCCATTACTGTGATGACTTCTTCCACCATATTTCCTAGGATCATACATACCTTGATCTCATCATTAATTTTCCAAATCTTGATTTCAAGCATCCTCCATTTTGACCAACATTAACAGCTCTACACTCTACTGTGAATAACAGTATTCACACTCTAATTTCTAACTCTCCAGTTTCACTGAGCCTACTGACCCATCAACTTCATCATTAAACTATTTATCACCCCATTTATCTTCACATTTCCTTCCTGATGCATCAAGCTCAGATTCCATTGCCCACCATTATAATCACTCCCATCTACTCTCCCTTCATTGTACTTAACTGGCACAAGTTAATTAATTTCAACCATCCTCCTAATCTGTTTGACGTCTCGGTAGCCTTAAACACAAATGTCTATAGCTTCTTTTCTGAAAGATTTTTGTTTTTCTTGGCTTCATGATTTGATAGTGTCCTGGTCTTGCTCCACCTTCACAGAGCGCTACTACTCAGATTTTTTTAAAGCTCTTCATCCTCTACTGTACCTATAAATTGAATATCTTGATCCCCCTCTCTTCTTTATCTGCATTCTTCCAGGTGAATCCCATCCAAACTCATAAATTGAAACACTAATCATTCCCAAATTTATGTCTCCAGGGCCAACTTCTAATTGCCAATTGACAACTTCTCCACTCAAATACATGAATAATGGCTTATTTTATATCTCTGCCCTCTCAGCATCATACACATATACCCAAACTAATAGTAATCCAAACTTAAGAACACCACCATTACCTAGGTCTCAAACAAAAAGTCCTCTTTCCTTCATGCCCATAGCCAATCCAGCACCAATCTTGTTAACTATCTCCCATGAATAACTCCTAAATCTGTCACCTTTTCTCCAACTCCATTACCAATAACCTAGTCAGTGCAATAATCTCTTCATTGGTTTTCCCTCTTCTATTTTTGCCTCCTCCAAACCATTCTTCTTATGAGCAGCCATTTTCAAACATGAATCAGATCATGCCCCTCCCCTATTTGAAATCTTCCAGTCTTTCCTATTCCACAATGGATAAATCTAAACTCCTTATCCTATCTTAGGAGGGACTCAGTGATCTATCCCCTGCCTAGCTATTAGATCTGATCTACTAGAATTCCTCATCCTTGTTCATTGTGCCACTTTTCTTCTGCTTTGCTCACTAGCAGTGGTTTCAAGCTGTTGGCCCTATCTAGAATACTCCTTCTGCAGATTTTTGCATGGCTGGATCCTTCTCAACATTCAAATCTCAGCTTAAATTTCCCCTCTTAGAAAAGCCTTCTCCAACCACCTAAGCTAAAGGAACTACTAAAGCTATTTTGTTTCCTTTATGGCATTTATTTCTATCTGATATTATCTTGATTTGTATGTTTTTGTACTTACTATCTATGTCCCCTCACTAGAATTTCATGTCTACAAAAGCAAGGCCCTTCTTTGCATTGTTTGCTGCTCTCAAAACAGTGTCTGCCACTTAAAAGGCATTCAAAAGTATTCAATAAATGAATAGGAATAGGCTTCATGAAAGAAGAAGACTATGTGTTGATTCTTGAAGGAAGAGTAAAACCTTAAAAAATGGAGATATCCATTCTGGAAAATAGTTTGGCAGTTTCTTCTAAAGTTAAAAAATCAATTACCATGTATATCAGGTTTTCTACTGATGCTATAACAAATTACCTACCACAGGCTTACAGGCTTAACACAACACAAAATTATTATCTATACTTCTGGATGTCAGAAGTCAGAAATAGGTCTTATGAGTTAAAATCAAGGTGTCAATAGAGTGGTGTTTCTTCTGGACACTCTAGGGGAGAATCTGTCTCTCACTTTTCCCAGCTTCTAGAGGCTACCTGCATTCATTGCTTCAATCCCTTTCTCTATCATCAAAGCTGGCAGCGTAGTGCCTTCGAATATGTGCCTGACTCTGACCCTCTTGCCTTCCTCCCATAAGGGCCCTTTTGATTATATTGGGCCCATGAAGATAATGCAGGAAAATCTCCCCTTCTCATGATCTTAAATTTTTCACATATACAAAGTCCCTTTTGCCTTGTAAGGCAACATATTAACAGGTTCTAGGGATTAGGGCATGGACATATTTGGAGGTTCATTATTTTGCCTGCCATATCATACAACCCAGCCATTGCTCTCTTGGGCATTGATCCCAGAAAAATAAAACCTATATCTGTGCAAAAATCTGTATGTGAATGTTGACAGCAACTTTATTCATAATAGTCTCAAACTGGCAATAATCCAAATGTCCTTCAAAAAGTTAATGATTATGGGTCGGCCGAGTGGCACATTGGTTAAGAGTTGGCTTGGGGCGCCAGCACTGAGCAGCAGGGCCCTGGTTTGGAACTCACATGAGGGCCAGTGACGCTGTGCCCTCTACAGCTAAGATGATGAACAACAGCTGGACCTGGAGCTGGGCTGCCGTGAGTTGCCAGTGACGGCATAGGCTGCAGCCCCTACTGCAGTGGGTTGCCATAAGCTACCGTGTGTAGCCAGCAGCCAGCGTGAGCTGCCAAGGGCTGCCCTGAGTGGCCATCCAGAGGCCGGCGACGGATCTGCCTCACCTGGGAAGAGCGCAGTGATAATACCAATATGGGCCAATGAAGCGACGTCCTCCACAACTAGACTGAAGAACAAAAGGACAGCAACTTGTCTGTTCCCCTTCCCCAATTCTCCAACACTGTTCCCCTCCTCCAATTCCCCAATAAAATCTTAAAAAAAAAAGTTAATGGTGAAACAAACTGTGGCAAGCTGCTCTATATCCATATCATTGAGTACTATGCAGCAGAACAAACAAACTATTGATACATGCAACAATGTGGATAGAATGCAAGGAAATCATGCTGAGTGAAAAAAAAAGCCAATCTTGAAAGTTACTTGCTGTATGGTTCTATTTACATAACATTCTTGAAATAAAACTATAGAAATGGAGAACAGATTAGTGGTTACCAGATTAGGGATGGGGGTTAGCTATAGCTAAAAAGGGGTAGAGTGGAGAAGCCTTGTGCTGATAGAACATTTCTGTTATCTTGACTAAGTTGGTAGTTCTACAAAGCTCCATATGTGACATAATTGCATAGAACTACACACACACACACACACACACACACACACACACACACGAATGCATGTATAAATGGTGAAGCCTGAATGAGCTCTCTGTATTTTATCACAGTCAATTTCCTGATTTTGATATTTTACTACAATTATGCAAGATGTCAACCTTGTGGGTGGAGGTGTAAAGTTTGCCTGGAACCTCTCTGTACATTTCTTTGCAATTTCCTGTGAATTAATAGTTATTTCAAAATAAAAAATGAAAAAACTAAGGAAGAGATGCAATGTCATTCTTGGTAGAGGGAACAGCTTTACAGGCTGTTTTTGTACCATGTGATTTCCTTAACCCTCATCCAAACTGCCACAGTGGATTGGACCCAACCCAAGCTGAGAAAAATAAAATTATCTCTCCAAGGAATTTAATTAGGATGGAGATTCTAGCTCAGCCAGACAATTATATACTGTTGACAACAGTGTCAACGCAATCTAATGGGTAAACCAAAAAACTCTTTTCAATAAGTGGTCAGGGAACAACTGAATATCCCCATGAAAAAAAGAACCACAATTATACATCACAGTACACATAACTAATTCAAGATAGTTCATAGATCTACAGGTAAAAGCTAAAAGTAAAAAGCTTCAAGAAAGAAATAGTATAATATGTTCATGAACCTAGGGTAGACAAAGAATTTTAAATTTTATCCAGAAAGTACAAACCAAAAAGAAAAACAATTAATAAAGTAGACTTGATAAAATTAGAAAATTTACTCACCAAAAGACTACACTAGGAAAATGAAAAGAGAAGACACCAACTCATAGGAAATAATCACAGTACACATATCTAACAAAGGACTTGAACATCGAATATATGGATAACTCCTCTAACTCAGTAAAAAAACAATTTAATAAAAAACAAAAGCAGGAACTTACACAGAATGATATATGAATATCCAATAAGTACATGAAAATGTGTTCAACATCATTAGTCATCAGGGAAATGCAAATTAAAACCACAGTGGGATGCTACTACATACCATTAGAATCATTAAAATTTAAAAGATTAATGAGAATGGTTAATTTTATATGTCAAATTGGCTAAGCTATGGTGCCCAATTGTTTGGTCAAACACCAGCCTAGATGTTGCTGTGAAGAAATTGTTAGGTGTGACTGACATTGAAATCAATGGACTTTGAGTAAGGCATATACTTCTCCATATCATGGTGATCCTCATCCAACCAGTTGAAGGCATTAAGAGCAAAGACTGAGGTTCCCAGGAAAAGAAGGAATTCTCAAGACAGCACCACGAAAACCCTGCCTGAGTTTCCAGCCTGCAAATTTCAATCCTTATTGTAGAATATAATGTACAAAGAAAGAGAGCTCCCAGTCACTCTAACTGAATAGAGGGTTTACTATGTTAGAACTGTAGTAAAGATTACAAATGTGCCAGGGTCA